AAAGGAGTAAAAAGCACTACTCCTAACCAAAACATAAACCTGATAATATTCTACAAACCAAGAAGACTTCCGAACTCCTTATCAAAAACAGCCCGAAGCCTACGGAGAACCCTCTACAGCAGTCAAGCGTTGTATACATGTACACTTGCCCCCACGAAGGATGTAACCTTCAATGTAAGTACATAGGTATGACGTCGACCAAGCTGACGAGGCGTTTGACATGCCATCTTCAATCTGGTGCCCCTAGGAATCACATGAGACAAGCCCATGACATTACTCTAACAAGAGAAATGTTGAACAAGAATACTTGCATAATAGACAAAACCCAAGATTCAAGAAGATTACAAATTCTTGAGGCAATTCACATAAGAACAGAGCGACCTACCATGAACACCCCAATCACGGAACTATTTACTCTACCCACCATGAGAGTAAGGACAAGACAAGAACATATCGATGCCAACACAGAAGACAATGTCCAACATAACAGGCCAATTACACTGGATTAATCTTTGTGTTTAGATAGGAGATGCCTCGTATGGGCCAATAAGCCTTCTGCAGCCCCTATGTTTATCCCTTATGTATCCCCCCATGTTTTTCACCTTCATTGTATTATCACCTGACCTAATGCGGGTATAAAATCAACTAGTATTGTAAGATCTGTTCACTTGAGAATGAACCATGGAGGTTCGAAACGTCGTGCAAATTATACAAATAAGTGTAATACACTCTATAGTAAATTACTTCTTTTCTTCACCTTAAAGTACGAAAATGAGTTTTGGAGAACTCCTATTCCAATTAAGCCCTGATGCTAAGAAAATAGTTAGAGGGATAGAAGCCCTAAACCAGAAAATAATATATATATATATATATATATATATATATATATATGTCGTACCTAGTAGCCAGAACGCATTTCTCAGCCTACTATGCAAGGCCCGATTTGCCTAATAAGCCTAGTTTTCATGAATTAATTATTTTTCGACAACCTAACCTACCTAACCTAACCTAACCTAACTTTTTCGGCTACCTAACCTAACCTAACCTATAAGATAGGTTAGGTTAGGTTAGGTAGGGTTGGTTAGGTTCGGTCATATATCTACGTTAATTTTAACTCCAATAAAAAAAAATTGACCTCATACATAATGAAATGGATAGCTTTATCATTTCATAAGAAAAAAAATAGAGAAAATATTTAATTCAGGAAAACTTGGCTTATTAGGCAAATCTGGCCATGTATAGTAGGCTGAGAAGTGCGTTCTGGCTACTAGGTACGACATATATATATATATATATATATATATATATATATATATATATATATATATATATATATATATATATATATATATATATATATATATATATATATATATATATATATATATATATATATATATATATATATATATATATTATTATACGTATTAAAATTGTCTGCTCTTTCTCCCATTCATTCTCTAGGGGTTATCACTGCCCCCTGAAGCCGGCTACCCATTAACTCCCAAGGGGCCCAAGTTCTACATGCTGGAGGTGCACTACGACAACCCCAACAGCCACACCTTCAAGGACGAGTCTGGGATACGCATCATCTACACCCCAGAATTACGTTACTACGATGCAGGTAAGCGCATTGTCAGTCTCCACCCCCTCCCCCCCCCCTCCCATCGCCCCGGAACTGCGTTACAGGGACGCAGGTCAGATTAATGGGACGCCATCAGCTGTGAAATGTGACCCCCGGTAAGTAGGTAAAACTCTTCTCGTGAGGAGTCGGATCGTCGAGTCGAGTTTCTCGAAATTCATGCAAGTTTCGAAGCAAGTCTGTATCTCCATACGCTTTTTGACAGGTAGGTACGGGCCATACGTCGAGGTCCCGTTACGCAAATGCCACCTCTCTACATCCCCCCCCCCCCCCAACTTAGCAAGCAGCTGTGTCTATATTAGTATACATTTATTGTGACTTAAGAACGCACGTCATTCACCTAGCGATGACGGAGCTGAGGAAATGGGAATTTAAACTCGTTTACTGAAGGATAAGTACACACACAAAATGATGAGGCAGCTCAAGCACCTCGCACACCGTTCAGTAAGGACAATGTGTTCAGATTTTTACACACACACAATCGTTCAATTCGTGTTCAGATATTTACACACAATCGTTCAATACGTGTTCAGATATTTACACACATCACACAGTATTGAGATATTAATATTCTGGAGGGTTGTGGAGTTGCTGTAGCTCTTGGACTCCTCCTTCACACGCAGACCGATGACCTGATGGGCTCTCTCAACCCCCCCCTCCCCCCCCTCAACCCCCCCCCCCCCCCCCCGTGTGCCTCCTGTTATGCCTCCGGTTTTCATATGCCATTTTCACTTCCATTCATTCTCCATTTACACCCCCTCCCCATTCATACTCCATTTACAACCCCTCACTTGCATCCCCATTTACAATCCACCTCACCCCCCTTTACATTTTCAATTACACTTCCATTGAACATTATTTTTATACAGCTTAAATTGCATAAATTCTTCCAATAAAAAACTGAACATTGTAGCAAATATCCTGAAGCTTCATCATAGCCAAGAAGGACGTTGCATGCAACACCGTACACTACAAACTGCAACTCACCATAATGCAATGAAACCCCAAATATACTGAACAATTTGATGGTACAACATACAACGAAGCCGGATGAAAGTGAACATTAGAACACACACAGACACACATAACAATACACACACTCATTGAACACACTACATCTGCTCCACTACCTCTACAGTTAAAATGACTAACGACTACAAATTATTATACATTACTAAAGGTTTTAATGTTAATATAGCACTAATGAACGTTTACATAGTGTAATTATATCTACTCAAAGTATAGAGTTTGTAATATGAAGAGTAGTCGTAATTGCAAATGTGTGTTCGGTAATCAGGGTGTGGTGTTCTCTTCATAGGTGTACTGAGCATCGGTCTGGAACCCAGCTGGAAACATCTCATTCCCCCACGACAACGGACTGTACTGTCTGAGGGCCACTGTGTAGCGGAGTGTACCCAGGCTGCCCTGCCCACCACTGGTGAGTACTGACCTTCTTGTTATTGTGCATTCATCTTACTGTTGGGTTTGTGCAATGATCTTACTGTTGGGTTTGTGGACTGATCTTCCTGTCGGTTTTGTGCACTGATTTTCCTGTTGGTTTCTGTACCTAAGCCTTCCTTCTTGCTTTTGGTAACCCACCTCCCCTTCCCCTCTCCCCTCCTCCTCTCTCTCTCAACCTGTCCTGCTACAATGAACGTCGCTTTCCGCTCGTACGCGTTACAGAAGACCAAAAATTGTCGTACTAGAAAATGGAAGCGGGCTCGCGCTAGTGACGTACCGTCCCGTTTTCTGTTTTGGGTCCTCTGATAAGTTTGGAGAGGACACGTTAATTTGACCGTTTTCGTGACGTTGGGAAATCTTAGAAGATGGGCTGCTCTCTCTCTCTCTCTCTCTCTCTCTCTCTCTCTCTCTCTCTCTCTCTCTCTCTCTCTCTCTCACTCTCACTCTCTCTCTCTCTCTCTCTCTCTCTCTCTCTCTCTCTCTCTCTCTCTCTCTCTCTCTCTCTCTCTCTTATGTTGCCTGTTAGCCATTATATCTTTGCTGTGTTAAGAGGAAGCAGAAAAGAGGATTAATGATATTAAATTTTTCTATCTTTTCTTATCTCAATCCTTCATTTAACAGTATTTACTCTTCATATTTAGCTTCCTCTGACTAAACTAAGAAGAAAGAGGAAGCCAAATGTATAGAGAAAATGTCATTAACAGAATGAGATGAGAAAAGCGAGAGTAAATAGAGGAGCAGTAATGATCTTTTCTAGCTCCCTTTGCCCCGGCAAAATATGATGGGGAACGAGCAACATGTGTCACGGAGCGCACGCGCGTGTGTGGTGTGTGTGCACGCGCGTGCGAAACTACCAAACTCCCCAGCAGTGTGGTGGCTGGCTCCCACAACACACACGGTCTGCCAGTCAACACACAGGAATTGCAGCGATCTAATGAAGAGGTAAATTGTGTTGTGAGAATTTCGGAAGGGAAAAGGGGCAGGCGCAGAGAGAGAGAGAGAGAGAGAGAGAGAGAGAGAGAGAGAGAGAGAGAGAGAGAGAGAGAGAGAGAGAGAGAGAGAGAGAGAGAGAGAGAGAGAGAGAGAGAGAGAGAGAGAGAGAGAGAGAGAGAGAGAGAGAGAGAGAGAAAAGGAGAGGGAGAGGGAAAAGGAGAGGGAGAGGGAGAGGGAGGGAGAGAGAGAGAGACAGAGACAGAGACTAGGGGGGGGGGGGGGTAGAGAAAGAGGCAAATTGTTTTCATTGTGTCGGCAAATTATTGTGTTCGTGGTGTTGACAGCAAAAGCAAATTGGCTTAGCAAAACAGCATATTGTGTTGGGGTCTAGTGGATAGTTAGTAGCGAGAGGGTGGCGGAAACGGGGTGCTAGGGGGGGGGGGGGAGGGGAGGAGGTTGATGAGTTGTGGTTGTACTGTGAATGGTGGTTGGGTCATGTTGTGGTGGATGATATGGTTGTTGTTGTTGGGAAAGTGTTGTGCCAATGAATGAAGCGGTTGTTTTCCTTGTGTTGATGTAATTGGTGTGTTGTTGAGCTAATTTATACTTGCATCTTATGCCGGGTGTTCTAGTCGACCGATACGCCGCTTAAATTAGACTCGGTTAAGTATATGTAACTTGGATATATATATATATATATATATATATATATATATATATATATATATATATATATATATATATATATATATATATATATATATATATATGCAGTTTCCTGAAGATATATAGAGACGAGGTAGCGACCATCTGTGGCCCGACAACCATTGTTATCTCGCATTACCATATGCTCAAGAGTCCAACAGACAGGGCGGCAGTCAGTAACTTGCCGAGAGGTCTTAATCGTTAAAGACGGCAGAAGGGGGTACGGGAGCCGCCAGACGAGCGAACAAATGAGTCTCTTAAGGAGAATAATTGTTCTTAATTCCATCCAGTTTATTTCACGCCCCCCGGGTCGATCGTGGTGAATAAATTTCATGCTGTATGTAAACAAAGAGAGGGTTTGTGGCCAGTGCGAATGTGCAATAACTGGCCAAGCGGAAAACACACTTGGCCGGAAGCAGACTTTACCAGCGGGAGAATTACTCTTGGCCCGTGGGAGGATACTGGTGCTTGGCCAACGCAAATACTCTTTGGAAGTAGAAGAGCTCTTGCACAACTTGATGAAGACACCCAGTGAAAGAAATTGCAGCGAGGAAAGGCAGAGAACCTGTAGCTACATGCCAGAATTCGACAAAAATACACAAAGTTGAAGTTGTCACCAAGTTATCACTTGACCAATTTAATGCTACCAGGAGAGCAGGAGAGCCAAGGTCAGAGAATTATCAGAACGAATTAAAACTGGTATGAGTACTTAGCACTTAGCAGGGACACGAGGATAGGAGTAGAGTTGGAATAAGAGGACGGAGTGACTGAGCGGTGCCTAACCACTTCGACAGTCGGGGATCAAACTGTCATAATGCGAGGCGTCTATGTAGCATACATGGACAGCTATAACAAGAACCAGCAACTATAACAAGAACACAGTTTTCCTCAGGCTGCTCAAAGGCAATCCAAGATGGTAATCAATTTTTTATTTATGAGCACATGATTTGGCTCAACCCTCATCAAGTTCTATCATGCATTCGGGGACGAATATGGGATGCAATCTAGAAGAGACAAACTTAGACTCCATAACTGATAATTTCATTATTCCCGTGCCCAGCTTCAGGCACAAGCACGTCACAGTTAGTCACGTCAATTGTAAGTAACTCCTTGCTTGCTCGACTAAGCTGTTTGACAAAGTGTTGGGCAAGAGCCATAATATTATCAGGGCCGAGAATTACATTCTTAGGTCCCTGCAGCGCCGATTACTCTAGGTACTGGCGTTCAGCTTCAACATTATTAACACCCAGATGGCTTGTTATGCTATAGAGAAGAGGGGACAACACACTCTTTGATAATAGTTGGAGGGCGATCTGCTACTTCCACCAAGAGAAGACCACCTCAGTAGGTTACCTCTATCCGGGGATCAATGGTCTCGTGTCCAGATCTCCAACCAGACCCTCGTGGTTGATGGACTGGTCGATCAGACTGTTGTTGGGCAGCCCTTCACGCAGTCTGATGTAGAAATTACAAAAGCCCGGCCATTGATTCCTCCATCAATGAAGAGCCTGCTGTAGCGGCTTTCCCTCGACATATTAAGGCATCGGAAGACTATCATATAATCCCTCTGTACCCAACCCCAGAACGGTCAATGTGGGATGGTGGGGGCTGTTGGCAAGAGGGAGAGGGCTCCTGGCAAGAGGAAGAGGGCTCCTGGCAAGAGGAAGAGGGCTCCTGGCAAGAGGGAGAGGGCTCCTGGCAAGAGGAAGAGGGCTCCTGGTAAGAGGGAGAGGGCTCCTGGCAAGAGGGAGAGGGCTCCTGGCAAGAGGAAGAGGGCTCCTGGCAAGAGGGAGAGGGCTCCTGGCAAGAGGGAGAGGGCTCCTGGCAAGAGGAAGAGGGCTCCTGGCAAGAGGGAGAGGGCTCCTGGCAAGAGGGAGAGGGCTCCTGGCAAGAGGAAGAGGGCTCCTGGCAAGAGAGGGCTTGTACGAAGAGTGGGTATTGTGGATAAGCTGTTGGTTAGGGACTATAGGGTAAATTGAATAAAGCTGCAGGGGATGTTTTGGAGAATGTATCGAGGGGGAAATGGAATAAGGGGGAAATATTGGGTAAAATGAAGCAGGGAGGAGAAACAGGGTAGTAGAGAGGCTGTGGTGAGAAGAGACGGGTCACCGCAGGGGAAAGAATGTGAGGAATATAGGATATAGAGAAAAGGGAGAGAGGATAGGCGTGTATGGTACGGGGAAAAAAAAATGTAGGATCGAGGGGAGATGTGCAAGTAAGGAATAATTTTCGTCTTGGTAGAGATAGGAAGTGTAAGTTAGGGTGAATATAGAGGGAAGATGGGGGGTATATAAAGTAGAGATAGCAGGGGTAGAGTTCAGGTTGAGGGAAAGATGATATTCTGTGTTGTGTAGGAAGGGCCTGAGGGATCGCCATTCTCCCCTCTAATGAGAGGTGTTTTATTTGACAGCTAGACAGCTGCTGGAGGCGCGTGTGTGTGTGTATGTGTGTGTGTGTGTGTGTGTGTGTGTGTGTGTGTGTGTGTGTGTGTGTGTGTGTGTGTGTGTGTGTGTGTGTGTGTGTGTGTGTGTGTGTGTGTGTGTGTGTGTGTGTGTGTGTGTGTGTGTGTGTGTGTGTGTGTGTGTGTGTGTGTGTGTGTGTGTGTGTGTGTGTGTGTGTGTGTGTGTGTGTGTGTGTGTGTGTGTGTGTGTGTGTGTGTGTGTGTGTGTGTGTGTGTGTGTGTGTGTGTGTGGTGTGTTTGCGAGCGCGTGAATATCTAGATGTGATTGCCAGGTGGAATAGCAGGGTTTATGCCTCCCCTTCTACGAGTGTACAATTATTAATAATTTAATACAATGACTGCTCACTCCTTCATAATTTTTACATTAGAAATTGTATATTTTCTTTTACAGCTTCTTCATCTAGCCTATTAACCGTACACTTCCGGTTCACGCGTTACGTCAAGGAAGTAATTATTGACGTTTATGTCAGACAATATACGGGGCCTGACAGCTGGGTGGACAGCGCTTCGGATTCGTAGTCCTGAGGTTCCGGGATCCATTCCCGGTGGAAGCGGAAACAAATGGGCAGAGTTTCTTTCACCCTGATTAGTTCACCTAGCAGTAATTAGGTACCTGGGAGTTAGACAGCTGCTACGAGCTGCGTCCTGGGTGTAACATAAATGAGGTCTGGTCGAGGACCGGGCCGCGGGGACGCTAAGCCCCGAAATCATCTCAAGATAACCTTAAGATAAGACATGTCATACATTAGTTTCTGACATTTATGTAGCTCATTTGTATTTTTAGTTTCCGTCTACGATCCCTCGATCTGTTGTTCCTCACTTCGAACATTGTTTCTTTCTGTACAGTACTTCAATTCACTTTTGGATCTTGTATGTTATTAACATGTTCTCTCTGTGCCATCACAGTTCTGAAACATTTTAAATGTTCAATTTTGTTTCACTAATATAATTTTGTTTTTCTTTTACTTCTCTGTAGTTTGGATTCAGTTGAAATCGAAAACATAACCAAACTTTAAGTATTCTTTGTTACAGAAATATTGAAATACATAAGGAGTTACTGCATATATGGCAACATTACCCAATGTATATGGTAACTCCACTAATTAGTGCTCATTCTGCTAATCAATTTATCAAAAGAAAACAATCACTGAAAACAATCTCTGGAAACTTGCACTATCTCACAAGGTAATGCTGGTTACTGTATCATGAATCAAAGTCTATATATCAATGTGGTGTTTCTATGTCATGGTCTCGTATCTATCTACCTGCTTTGGTTTGTTCTTGGCCCGAGTCATCCAACCTCCCCCTCTCTCTCTCTCTCTCTCTCTCTCTCTCTCTCTCTCTCTCTCTCTCTCTCTCTCTCTCTCTCTCTCTCTCTCTCTCTCTCTCTCTCTCTCTCTCTCTCTCCTTCCTAAGTTGTAATGTCTTGGCGCTTTCTCCTGATCGTTTCCCACCTTCCTTTCCCTCCAGGCATCAACGTGTTCGCTGTGATCCTTCACACCCACCTACTGGGCAGGAAAGTGCGCGTGCGCCACCTGCGCCAGGGACGGGAGCTAGAGCCCATCGCCCAGGACAACAACTATGACTTCAACTACCAGGAATATCGAGCATTGAAGATTCCCCGCACCGTCCTCCCGGTAAGTGTGTGTCCTTGTATATTAACTGTGTTGGGCTTGAACTCCTGCTCAAGGCCCCACCTGTTGAATTATTCTCGTTTCCTGTCCAAGTGTTCCTCTGTAACATTCTACAGTCATTCTCTGTCGTTAAGCTGATCGTCAACTCTCGCCCATCAACTGGAAACAGCGACCTGTGGGATTCTTCCTTCAACTCTGAAGGATCTCTGAGGCATGCCGAACGGGAATTTTCAGTTTTATTAGTCTGTGATTATCGCTGAATGGTACGCTTTGCCGACTGTTTGACACCTGGACTCGGATTCATTAAGCAGTTATGCAAGTACTTACGAACGTGTACATCTTTCCTCAATTTTTGAGGGCTTTGGTTTACATTTATTAATCAGTTTACAACCATGAAAACTGCCCAATCAATTGTTGTTATTGTTATAAACAGCCTCCTGGTGCTTCGGAGCTCATTAACTATAATTGTAAACAAAACCGTCAAAAATTGAGAAAAGATGTACAGGTTCGTAAGTGCTTGCGTAACTGCTTTATGAATCCGGGTTCAATCGTGCGAGCGAAGATACTATATTAGGCTAGTCTGTCGACATTCACCTTCACTTAAGCCATTCTTGTTGTCTGTTGCCAATGTTGTTCTTTACGTGTGTTTTGCTGGTCTATTCTTAGGACCCTTTCAGGGTAAACCCCCACACTAATACTTTTATGCAGTTTAGCGTATAACGCAGGGAAGCTTGAAGGTATCCGGAGCCCTTGCGGTCGGCGAGGTATTGCAGAGCTTCGTTAGTGGTTTGCAAAGGCTCTTCTCAGCTTACTTTAGCATCCTTGGCTCAAGACTTTCTCTGGTCTCATTGGCTTTGTTGTATCCAATTGAGGAGTGTTCTTGACCCCCCTTTTATATCTCTCTCCACAAATATATACACCATACCTTATCACTGTCATCATATCCCAGCTCCTGGTCTTCACATCCCAGCTCCTGATCCTCACATCCCAGCTCCTGGTCCTCACATCCCAGCTCCTGGTCCTCACATCCCAGCTCCTGATCCTCACATCCCAGCTCCTGGTCCTCACATCCCAGCTCCTGATCCTCACATCCCAGCTCCTGGTCCTCACATCCCAGCTCCTGGTCCTCACATCCCAGCTCCTGATCCTCACATCCCAGCTCCTGGTCCTCACATCCCAGCTCCTGGTCCTCACATCCCAGCTCCTGGTCCTCACATCCCAGCTCCTGATCCTCACATCCCAGCTCCTGATCCTCACATCCCAGCTCCTGGTCCTCACATCCCAGCTCCTGGTCCTCACATCCCAGCTCCTGGTCCTCACATCCCAGCTCCTGATCCTCACATCCCAGCTCCTGATCCTCACATCCCAGCTCCTGATCCTCACATCCCAGCTCCTGATCCTCAAATCCCTTCTAAGTGCTATAGATATAATAGCATAGCACTGTCTCCTCATACTTACTTTACCTCAGCACAACTATGCTGCATCAAGTTGGTCTGCGGGCTCACCATAGCCCGTGCTACTTGGAACTTTGTTCCAGGTAGCGAATCTTTAACAACAACAATCAAGTTGGTGCATGGGGGTTACTCCTTTATTATTTCTGTTAATTTTGATTACTCATTTATTTCTTTTTGATTTGGCTTAAATACCTCTTAAAATATTTTTCAGTTCCTCAACATCCTTCTTAGTCTAATCACCTGGACATTTACAGCCAAGTTTCTTCCTTGACATAGCTTGGGAGAAGATCTGTGGGACTTCTTAATGTTTGATGTCTGCCGTTCTTAAGTCGTATCTCTATTTCCCGTCAGAGTAAGGCCTATTCTCAGAGTAGATCTGATTGTAAACCAGGCTTACATCAGTTCAATTATATAAATTATGTCCTGAAATTTTGAGTAAACTAAAATAATAAATGTTCAACCCATTATGAATGAGGTCTTTTATATATGATTTCTTTGACTATTTTGGTATTTGGGACAAGACAAGGAGGTAATAATTCCCGCTACCCTTGTCTGGCTTGGCTTCATTTAATCAATATGTGCAACAATCATCCATTTACTCGATATGTAAAACAATCATTCATTTACTAGATACATAAAACAATAATTCATAACCTAATATGCCTCCTCCTCCCTCCCTCCTCTGCCAGGGTGATCACCTTATAGGCGAGTGTACGTACAACAGCCGGGAGCGGTCGAGCATCACCTTAGGAGGCTTCAAAACACGAGATGAGATGTGCCTCTCCTACCTCTTCTACTGGCCCCGAGTGGACCTCTCTCTCTGCCACTCCAAGCCCTCCCTCAACACCGTGCTTCACTCCCTGGGTATCGAGGAGCTGTCAGCGTGAGTATCCTCACTCTACCTCTACTTCACACTACATCCACACCTAGCCTCCCGCCTCCCGCCCTTACACACACACACACACACACACACACACACACACAGGGCCACACCTAAAGCCCTAAGACTATTTTCTCCATTTCATCATTTTTCTTGCATAATATATTATATATATAAACACAAATCTTAAGAACACAATAAATTAGACATGGTTGGAATATGATTTATCTAGCCAAAGGAATCTGAAGCCTTCCGTCACTAATGCCGTCAGTGTCCCCGTGACACTGGGGTAAAATCTGTAATTGGAACATGTATCACACTCACTAAAACCCAGCCACGTTAGGGGTAATGGCTTTTGTGAATTATTCCTTGCTGGGGGAAATTTACCTTGCGCCGTGTTCCTAAGCATCAAGTAATTCTCTCGAATAGAACATTTCTATTCTCCCGAGGCTCCAGATCGAGCGTCTCAATGTCCAAAAATATTTTCTATCGCCGCATTAAATAGACAACAGCAATTCGCTGTAATTTGGCATAGGGATTGAGATTGGTGATTTGCTGTGTATGTAAACAAACGTACTGGTAGGGATCGACTTGAGAATGGTCCAGGACGGACCGAAACGTCATCGTCCCTTCAATTTCTAGTGTGTGGTCTGGTCAACATACTTCAGCCACGTTATTGTGACTCATCGCCTGCTTAATACATCACAGTTAAGAGACGCCGGTTTGGCACGGGGGAGATGATTGCGACGTTTAAGATTCTAGGGGAATATTGACACAGTTCAGATAAGAAGGAAACGCTTAGCCGGTGCAACAAGAGAACTAGAAGCTACTGATCAAACCAGATGATGATGATGAATCATAAAAATTGAAGTTCTCGTTTTAAGTGAGTGTAATAAGTATACTGACTTCTTTCTGGAGGTCGAGGCTATTAGCGAACATAGATATAATTTTATTTTATATATTAATTTAATTTAAATTAATTTAATTTCAACACTAATAGGTATGCCTATACCTACATGTACATAATACAAAATGTGAATTTTTCCAGGATCCTACAGTTCATTTTCATACGACTGAGCCAATAGATGCTATATGTCTACTATAATTTTAGGAGTATGAGCATGTGTATGCGGCTAACGATAGTACCCCACACATGTACCAGCGCATGTAACGCTAACGACAGTACCACACACACACACACAAAAAATAATAATAATAATCCCCTTCGCATCCAATAGAAGTCATTTTTTAATGGTCTCTGGTCCCGAAAGTCACCGTGTTGCAGCTCTCTAAAAGATTGTAACAAATGAAAAAGAACCCGCCCATCAAGAGAGAGACCTCCCATCCTTATTTTTTTTTGTACCCATCCCTCGCTCCCATTCCACTCGAGCCCCTAACCCACGGCCCACTCCACCCTAGCCCCTCCTAAGTCCCTGCCACCCTCCCTCCATTCCCCCAGTCTTCCTGCACCTCACTCATTCACTCCCTCATTCCTTCCTTCCCCACATCAGCTCTTCCGAGACAACGTGATGGTTGCAGCATGAGAACAGTGCTGATCAATCTCTACCGGGGACGGGAGAGTCGCTGATCCAGAGGCTCCCAGTGTGCTTGACGTGGGTGGTGGAACTCAAAGGCTCCCAGTGTGCTTGACGGGGGCAGTGGAACTCGAAGGCTGCCAGTGTGCTTGACAGGGGTGGTTGAGCCTAGAGGACTCCCGGTCATCATTACTCGTGTCCCATCTCTTGTTGCCTGCTTTGTGCTCATTAACCCATGTCAAGCTTGTAAACTTCACTGATTGTTGTTATTTAACAGGAAATACGTGTTTAGGATGTTGCAAAAAGTGAACCAATTGTGCGTTTTTTGTGTTCTTCGTAAACCTAGTTTACTGGTTATGAAAAATTTGGGTGTCTGATATCGCTCCAGCGGAGATAAAAAAAAATCGCTGGTCCTTCACATTCTTTGGAGACAGAGCCTAGATACTGGCGTTATCCCTGACATTAAGAACAGAAAAGATAGCACCACTCCATAAAGGAGGAAATAAGGCAGAGGCATAAAAATCTTTGAAAGAGTGCGAAGAAGTAAGATCACAAAATACTTGGAATCACAGCAATACCATAACCCTGGACAACATGGTTTCAGAACAGGGCGCTCTTGCTTACCGCAGTTACTAGACAACTATTGCATGGCCTTAGATTCCATGGAAGGCAAGCAAAACGCGTATTCAATTTACACGGCTTTCGCAGAAGCCTTCGACAAATGAGACAATGATGTTATTGCGCACAAAATGCGTTCAAAAGGAATTACCTGAAAAATAGGCAGATGGATCTACAATTTCCTGACTAACAGAACCCAATGTGTAATAGTCAACAAAAATAAAATCCGGACCATTAACCTTGGAGTGCTCGGTTCCCGAGGGTACTGTACTTGCTCCAGTACTTTTTTTCATTCTCATTTCATAGACAACTGTTGAAAAATGACAGCTTGGATAACAAGAACCTTTCAAACTAGAGATGCTATACCAATGATGATACGTTTCAAGACGCTAATGCTCTCTAAAGTGGAGTACTGTTGCACAATGACAGCCCCTTTCAAAGCTGGAGAAATTGTTGACCTGGAGAGCGTGCAAAGATCGTTTATGCTAGAATCCACTCAGAAAAAAATTTAAGCTATTGGGACCGATTAAAATGCCAATATTTTTTATTCTCTAGAGCGCAGGCGAGAGAGATGCATAATAATTTACACAAAGAAAATATTAGAGGGGCTGGTCCAAAACCTGCACGCAGAAATAACATCACAAAAGACCAGAAGGCTTGGCAGGATTTGCAGAATACCCCCGTTGAAAAGCAGAGGTGCAACAGGTACTCTGAGAGAGAATTCTATCAACATCAGAGGCCCGAGACTGTTCAACCCGCTTCCACTACACATAAGGGGCATAACTGGCCGACCCCCCAACACAGTGTTCAAGAGAGAGAACTCTATAAACACCTCCAAAGGATACCTGATCAACTAGCCTCTGATTCATACGTCAGACTGCGAGCAACTGCGTCCAACAGCCTGATTGACCAGTCCTGCAACTAGGAGGCCTGATCGGGGACCGGGCCGCAGGGACGTTGAGCCCCAAAATCATCGCAACGTTAGGTTGACTATAAGGATTGGTCAGTCCTGTCCTGAAGACCCATTAAACTAAGCCATGCAAACATCTGTCCCTAGAAACTTACATGCAAGATACCTGCTGGTATCAACCCGCCCATCCAACCTTCCTCATACATCATCTATACAACCCATAAGCCTTCCTTAAAAAGTACATACACACTCACACACACACACACACACACACACATACACACACACACACACACACACACACACTCATGATCACAACCTACAAAATCCTCAGAGGAATCGACCGGGTAAACAAGGATAAACTATTCAACACTGGTGGGACGCGAACAAGGGGACACAGGTGGAAACTGAGTACTCACATGAGCCACAGAGACGTTAGAAGGAACTTTTTTAGTGTCAGAGTAGTTAACGGATGGAATGCATTAGGCAGTGATGTGGTGGAGGCTGACTCCATACACAGTTTTAAATGTAGATATGATAGAGCCCAGTAGGCTCAGGAATCTGTGCACCAGTTGATTGACAGTTGAGAGGCGGGACCAAAGAGCCAAAGCTCAACCCCCGCAAGCACAAACAGGTGAGTACAAACAGGTGAGCACACACACACACACACACACACACACACACACACACACACACACACACACACACACACACACACACACACACACACACACATTACTCCCTAAGTTGTTCTTGTAATCTTCCTTTTAATACAGATGTCTTAATGCAATCTAAATGTTCTTCTAGATAGCGAGGAGCAAACTCATTTCTGTTACAGGCGCGCTCATGTCTACTATGTACTGTTACAGGCGCGCTCATGTCACCTACGTACTGTTACAGGCGCGCTCATGTCACCTACGTACTGTTACAAGCGCGCTCACGTCTACACAGTTACAGGCACAACTTTACAGACTACTTTTTAATAAAAACGTTTCTAAGTAAACTTTCGTCTAATATAGACGCTTCCGGAGGAAACTTTCTCCTATTATTGACGCTGCCCTAAACTTTGCCTGTCCTCAAGTTACACGGATTCCCTCAACCTTGTGCTCGCGAACACGCACGTGCGCATACACACACACACACACACACACACACACACACACACACACACACACACACACACACACACACACACACACACACACACACACACTGACATTGGGTGAGCCATTATACAAGACGATCCGTGTCCACTTGTATCTCCCTCTCTCTCGCCCTCAGGAACTCGGACCCCATTAAGATCCGGCGGCCCATCGAGCTGGCAGGGAAGTCGTTGGAGTGGCGACTGATGAACTACGACTGGAAGAATCAGTTCGACTACTTCCAGCAAACGACTCACAGTGGCACTTTCAACCCCATCTGCTGGAGGCGTGGGGAGTCTCTCATTCCCGTAAGTCTCTCCCGTGTGTGTGTGTATGTGTGTGTGTGTGTGTGTGTGTGTGTGTGTGTGTGTGTGTGTGTGTGTGTGTGTGTGTGTGTGTGTGTGTGTGTGTGTGTGTGTGTGTGTGTGTGTGTGTGTGTGTGTGTGTGTGTGTGTGTGTGTGTGTGTGTGTGTGTGTGTGTGTGTGTGTGTGTGTGTGTGTGTGTGTGTGTGTGTGTGTGTGTGTGTGTGTGTGTGTGTGTGTGTGTGTGTGTGTGTGTGTGTGTGTGTGTGTGTGTGTGTGTGTGTGTGTGTGTGTGTGTGTGTGTGTGTGTGTGTGTGTGTGTGTGTGTGTCCATATGCTGGGGAACAGGTTCTATATCTTCCTGTAATTCGGAATGCAAGGCCTTGGGGTTATCGGGTGCTGTGTCCTGCAATCTCTGAGCTGGACTTTACATGTATTGAATGCTAGATTCTGCTATGCATATTACTAATACTAATCATAGCCAACTCCGATGAATAGTAGAAACCATATTGAGTGTTAGATTTTACAAGTTTCGTAAATCAGTTTCAGTGGATGCTGGGAGCCAGATCCTTCAAGTACTAGAACTAGATGGCTAGCTTTTGTGTACTATTTGTCAGATAATGAGAGTACTGTTAATAAGCCCTACGAGTTACAAGTACTGAGAACCAAGTCCTACCATTATATTGGCTAAAATCTTTTCTGCGTAAAGAGATTCTGTTGAATTTTTCAGTAATATCTTTATTTTATATTCTTTTGCAGGAGGCAGAGAAACTGGACTACGAGTACCCTAACATCACCGAGTCGTGGGTGTCAGAAAACGTGTGTAGGCAGCGCAGAAAGAAGAGCAAAAGGCGCAAGTTGAAGAATGGACGCGGCAAGAACCGGCACCTGCTCCCGAATAGCGACATGGAGGAGGGAGAGGAAGAGGAGGAGGAAGAAGAGGAAGAGGAGGTGATGTTCGATGACCAGACCAATTCCAGACCTATTGAGAGGATTGACGTCGACCCGTTCAATCATGTTGATGTCTTTATGCCCGTAATTGAAGAGAGGGTAGAAAACGACCCCTTCGGAGTGGACGAATCTCCAAATCAGGAACTGGAACAGGAGTTGCTAGATATGGAAAGGGACTTGGAAAAGGAACTTGCTGACAAGTACCCCGACGCTTTCCACGAGCGAACTGAACACCAAAATAGGGAGGGTACAGGTAGCAGCAGCTGCCTGAGGGTCGTCACCTCTCAGTGGACGTTCTCTGTGTGCCTCTGTGTCTTGTCTCTCGCTCGGCTCTTCTACGGACATGGCTGAGGCTGAGGGATGAGGGCACCAAAGAAAACAACTTCGCCTCTCTGATGTCCCAAGTGTGTTAATTTTTAAGGACATAATATGTGCTGTGAAAACAAATCGTTGTTAATAAACGATATCTGGGGGTTAAAAAAAATATATATATATAATAGCCTCTTGATCTTTACAACTCTCAGAGATTTGGCTCTAGCATTTATCTCCACATGCGGACGGTTCACCTGCCTTAGGGATGTGCAAAGGACCCTCACATAATTGTGTTGAGTGTTGCGTTCGTGTGTGTGGTGTGTGTGTGTGTGTGTGTGGGTGGGTGGGTGCGTATGTGCGCGTGTGAGTGCGTGCGTATGTGTGTGTGTGTGTGTGTGTTTGGGGGAGGGAGTGGGGGAGTGGTTGGAGTTTCCTTGAGGGTGTTGGAAGTTTACTTAGCCAACCAACTCAGACGTAGCCACTCTCCCCATCTTCACTAGGGACTCCCACCCTGCTATATTAACAGTGCCTCTTTTTTGTAAATTTTTCTTTTATGTGTTTCTTGGGGCATTTCGTATGTTCACGTGAGAAATATTGTGATGATTAGTCTCATGTTTTATAAATCTGTGCAAAATTGAAGTTGTAGATAATAATATATGGAACAGATACAAATATTTTGTTTATAGGACCAAGTGAATTACGTTCTGTGAGCCGCTCCTTAGTCTGTAGATAATTGTCACAGAAGAATTAATTTTGTATTTTGAACTTGTACTTTACAAACAGTGTATTTTGCTTGGTGGAAGGTTATATATATCGAGCTTCGTGTGCTTGAGAATCCATAATTTTCTAAGATGCATTTTCAAAGTTTTTTTTTAATTTACCAGATGTACTGTATATTAGGATGCTAGAAATCTTTTTATCTCCACGAAAAAAAGCAGTAAACTAATAATTTCCTTCTGCATCAAAGGTTTCTTGGCTCATGATGTTTTTATAAAATTTTTCGCATTATTCATTATTTTTATGGTTATAAACTCAGTCCATATATCTATATATACAAATATATATATATATAAATTGTACATCTTAGCAGTATCTGTGATTAGATATTTATGTTGCATAGACAACTCATGAGTTGATGAATCACTACGAGGTGTGGCGCTGTGCACTGGGTCAGCACGACTCCTGGGCCATTACGACCCCCTGGGGGCATTTCGACCCCTGGAGTATTATGAGCACCATGGGCCATTGCGACACTTAAGCCATTACAACCATATTGGCCAGTGCGACCTATTTGTCATCACAAACCCTGGGTTGTATGACTCCTGGGCCAGCAAAGACCCTTACTGACACCTGCGAAGCACGACCCCTGGGCCTGTATGGTACTTGGGGTCAGCACGACTCCTGGGCAGCACGACCCCTGGGCCTTTATGGTACCTGGGGTCAGCAAGACTCCTGGGCCTGTATGGTACCTGGGGTCAGCACGACTCCTGGGCAGCACGACCCCTGGGCAAGCATGATCCCTGGGTTGTTAACACGACCCTTGGGGCCGGTATGACCCCTCAAGCCTCCGTCTCATCTTTCAAAACTTGTTCTCTCTCACATTGTTTACAAACAATATTTACAAAATTCTTTACTAGTAAAACTTGGAAAGTGTCAGTTTGAGATCAATGTGCAGAGTTTAAACTCACGATTTTGTAAAGACAAGCCCTGAGTTTAAGTGCAGATGTCAGAAGTAAATATTGCAACCAAGAATCTATTTCGTTTTAACATGAAAAATGGTGGCATGACAAAATAAAATATACACACACAAAAAAAGAGATATCTGCTTGGAAATCATACCAGTCTAATGTAGTCGAGCCAGAGTAAAAGTACAGCCGGAGGGTTGTGGGGGTGGGGAGAAGTGCACACCCCGCGGCATCAGGGCCGACTCTCGTCTCCTCCGCTCAGAAGCAAAAGGGTCAAACCTTTTTGGCCAAGATCTATTGTGTTTGCAGATGTGGCATCAAGTTCATCATTTATTCCCCGAGTGGAGGCCCTAGCAAACATGATGCTCCTGCAACTTAAGAACTTATTTTATGAGACGGGACAACGTGCCTCTTTTAAAACCCAAACAAGTTGAGAGCTTCCAAGATTAAGCACTATATAATGAAATTATAAAAGTAACCAGTTCCCTTCTATAATGCAGTCATTAGTATTCCTATCTTAGCTTGGAATTAATCATTTGAGAAAACACACGTCTTGCGCTATTGTGATAGAACCCATATAGAATACTGTACCTAAACACATTTTAGAAACAGTATTGATCCTCACAGTGCAAGCAGCATGGCACTATACCCTAAAAAACCTCATCAGTGAATGATAATGTAATATACATACTGTGTGATGGATAATACGTGTAAATAGATTAGAAGATGAAACCATCCGAATGAGGATTCATATGCAGTGTGTATACTCATAATGTCCACTTCGTACTAATACTTGCACTCTGAGTGCTGATACGTGCTATCGACAAATCCTACGTGCATGGGAGAACTGCTATGCATAGGTGAATGCCCACATTTTTGTCGACCCTCTCATATGACATCGCAACATCTACGTTTGTAAGCATAGTGCATAATTGTTTGCATGCATGTTAGTATGGGCATCTGTTGCATGGGTTCTAATATGGGCACCAAAGGCAGATATGTGTAGTGTGAGCAGAGAAGGGTTCCAATGAGCACTACGTGTGGGTATGCAAGAGTTTACATGCACTGTAAGTATTAATACTTGCACTGTGAGTTCTGATACATATATGAGTAGTGATACAGGCACTATGGGTGCTGCTATGTGCGTTGTAAACACTAATTTACACATTACCGACAGCTGATGTATGCACTCGCGCGAAGTTTGAATGTGAACATTTCGTACTGATACGTGCTCCACGAGTATTACACACACACACTAGTTGAGTGACTTAACTGTGGCTAAATATAACGTGAGCTATGATTGCTGAACTATGTATTCTGAGTGTTGATACGTGCACTTTAACCCCTAAACTGTGCAGTTATTTAAAAGCACTGCGTCTAGTTGGCGTACGACTAAAAATAGTTAACAAATGAAATGGGGGGAAGGGAAATGCAAAAACGCATATTTACGTTTGGCGCAGTGTAAGGGTTAAACACTGATATCTGCGCTGGGAACCGACCAGTGCGTGGGTGTGCCAATGCCTGCTGGATGGATATTGTTCCGAGTGTGTGTTAGTACTGGTACCTGCATGTTATTGCAAAAGCACCAGTATTGATGCTGATCGATATTAATATGGTTGCAGATATTTTACTACTGGTGCTTGCATGTTTGTACTAGTGCTTGCATGTTAGTATTGGTGCATGCATGTTAGTACTGGTGCATGCATGTTAATACTAATGCTTTCATGTTAGTTCTAGTGCTTATATGTTAGTGCTAGTGCTTTTATGTTAGTGCTAGTGCTTGTATGTTAGTACTAGTGCTTTCATGTTAGTACTAGTGCTTGCATGTTAGTACTGGTGCCTGGATATTTATACTGGTGCTTGCATTCCAATACTCGTGCTTGTATGTTTGAATTGGTGCTTGCATGTTAGCACTAGTGCTTGCATGTTAGTATACGTACTTTCATATTTGTACTAGTAACTTGGTGCCTCTATGTTAGTACTGGTGCTTGTGTATGTTAGGTACTGGTGCGTGCATGTTAGTACTAGAGAGTACATATTGGTTAAGGGGGCTTTGTATGTTACTATTGTTGCTTGGATGCCAGTACTAGTTCTTGCATGATGGTACTAATGCATTCATAGTAGTACTGGTACTTTCATGAGAGCTCTGGTGCTTGCATGGCAATTCTGAAACTTCACTTTGAGTCCTGGTTCTGCTTACGTTTACAGTCAAGGGTAATTAATACCTGTGCCATACTACTAACAACGTTGAACAGCATTCTTCTTCTGGGCCACTAGGTGTGTAGAGCAACATACCTGTACTGTGCCACCAGGTGTGTGTAGAGCAACATACCTGTACTGTGCCACCAGGTGTGTGTAGAGCAACATACCTGTACTGTGCCACCAGGTGTGTGTAGAGCAACATACCTGTACTTTGCCACCAGGTGTGTAGAGCAACATACATGTACTGTGCCACCAGGTGTGTAGAGCAACTTACCTGCTCTGTACCACCAGGTGTGTAGAGCATCATATCTGTACTGTGCCACCAGGTGTGTAGAGCAGCATTACCGTGCCGGCAAGTGTGTTAAGCTGCTTAGCCTGGAGATGCGCCTGGCACTCAGTGCCAGTGCTCTGGAACAGCACACCTGTGTCGGCTGGTGAAGTCTCTATAACCAAGAGGCGAAAGTCTGCTGCACACAAGACACCTGTTGATGTATGTCCACACACAGGACACGTGTCCTTGTATGTCGACGCACAGGGCACGCGTCCAACTACCTACGTTAGGGGTTTGCTAGTTTTATCCGGCAAAATATTCATTTGATTTTAATTTAAATTCAAGAATTTTAACATGTAGATTGAACTCACTTGAGACATGAGTGACTGACTTTTCAGAGTATTAACAATGGGAGAAGGACATCTGCCTTGATTATTGTGCGGGGGGTCTGACTCCCCCTGTGAAGGCGATAATCGTGGTCTCACAATACCTCTTTAAAGTGTTCCAGTTTGTGGCCATGACAGCGTGACTTTTTGGACTAATACTTCTCTCTCTCTCTCTCTCTCTCTCTCTCTCTCTCTCTCTCTCTCTCTCTCTCTCTCTCTCTCTCTCTCTCTCTCTCTCTCTCTCTCTCTCTCTCTCTCTCTCTCTTTCTCTCTCTCTCCACACACACACTTACTCCACCGGATTCCGTGATCACCACTACACATACTGAGTGTTGCTTCAGTGTCTTGTGAGACTGACCAACCACCATCTTCGCTTCAGCCAGAGCACATGACTTCGTTCCTCTCACCTTGAGCACTCACAAGACTCAATTGTAGTAGCATATATTTATATATTTATAGAGGTGTAAACCTTAGATTAAATATTATTATTCACTGACTAAAAGAGCGTTGAATGTAAACAAGGGTTGGGAGAGAGAGAGCACTACCAGTCTGAAGTAGATGAGTGTATGTGTCGATACACTTGTGCTCTTTATGAGCTTCTGTGTTCCTGATCGCAAGTGTTTGTTAGCACAGGTAGTCACGATAACAAAGTGTTCTCGAGCACAGTTATTCATGAGCATAAGTGTTCATGAGAGCAGGTGCTCATGGGCGGAGGTGTTCACAACCGCAGGTGTTCTGGAATTCAGGTTTTGATCAGACTCGCAGGATGCTGAAGGATTCTGGAGCTGGTGTAAAATATAACGTCGGTAAGGATTGTATTTATACTATGGTTTGTGAGACTGCAACTGTAGAATGCTGGTCCTACACACACACTTTCTAGCCATAACTCAGTTTAACGAGTGGAATTTCACTATTGCCGGTCTCGAATAATCTGAAATTCGCTTTGCAGTCATTCCAGTCTACAGTCATTCCAACCCTCTTTAGTCAGGCTAGAACCATTATAGCAGATTTTCGTCATGCCGCAGACAGCCCAGTTCTCTTCATTTCAGTTACTTGTATTTCTCACGTAAACTTTGCTCTCAGAGATCACATGCAAATACAGTCCATGCAAACGAAGAACTGAGACGATGGGCATGCCAACCCCTCACAGAGTACACCACTGTTATGTTCCTAATTTCCAAGATCTGTAACTGCAATATTCCCTTCTGCGATGATGGTGTTCTTCAGATATTGAGTGTATTATATATATATATATATATATATATATATATATATATATATATATATATATATATATATATATATATATATATATATATATCTCGAGAATCTGTATCAGTCAGTGAGCAGGGGGCAAAAATGTCTTTTAGTACTACGTTAATGAGAGTCTATTTGTGGTTGATAATATTATCGCAAATTATTTCTTTAGTAATTATGATTTGTTGTTATTTCTCGGTTTTAATGGAGATGATTTCCAGGATGTATTTTTTTTTATTTATTTTTATTAAAATTTTCTCAATGTTTTTGATCTGCCATATATACCGGTGTTCATTTCTTTTCAACAACACTGAGGATATTTGTGTTCTTCCTTCAGGCTTGTTCTTCAGGTCTTTCCTCCGCGTGTTTCATGTTTCCTTTTTCCTTCCATTTTCCTTTTCATTTTCAACAAATTCCTATTCGTTTTTAACATTGAATTTTTCATCGAGTTTTACTCCCATTACTTTAAATTCTTCTTAGGCCAACTCCTTTTTTTTTTCCTTGCTCTTGGTATTTTTTACACAAGTGGGTGGGAGAATTATAAGCTGTGAGGAGCGTTGAGCGCTCTTGCTCTTGCGTATTTTTTGTTGTTTTCTTGCCTGAGCGTTTTATATGATTCATTTTCCCCCTTTAATTAAACTTGATGACTTTATTTTCACTTCCTTTCCACTACCAACTTAAAGACTTCACCAAGGCCATAGTTGACACAGGAAAAAATAAAATATTTTGTGTGTAAAAAAAATGATAATTTTTGTTCATAACCATGATATTTATTTACCCTTTAAGTTAATGAAACTAATATATATATATTATATATATATGTGTGTATATATATATATATATATATATATATATATATATATATATATATATATATATATATATATATATATATATATTATACCTGATAGTTAGCATGCACTATTTGGTCAACTATGCAGGGCCTGGTTTGTCTAATACGTTTTCCTGAAGTTATATATTTTTAAGAAAAAGTGAAATGATAAAGCTTTCCTGTATATCATATATGATTTTTTTTTTAATTTTAGTTAAAACATATAAAATACAATTAAACCTAACCAAGCCTACCTAACCTAACCTATCATAACCTAAACTAACATAACTAAGGCGTGAATTCATGTCCATAGTATAATACAATAATATTAATTCAAATAAATCAATTGAAATGAATTTGTTAAAATAAGGAAAATCACTGTGCCTCTTAGGCAAAACGGGCCTTGCATACTAGGCCGAGTATTTCGTTCTGGCTACTAGGTACGTCATTATATACATATATTATATATATATATATATATATATATATATATATATATATATATATATATATATATATATATTATTACACGTGGTGTTATTGATGGATTCAGAGCCTGACGGACACACTATCAGACGACCCAGAGTCGGATCCAGCTTCATGTCTCAGTACTTTCCCTGTACGACCAAATTACTGAAGGAATACAATATGTATTGTGTGTATTTTATATCTGTGAATGTAAATTTGTATAGCATGTACATAGTAATCATTAATACTAATATTGTATTTTTTTTACACGTGTTTTATTCCCCATTACATCTTTAATAATTAAAACAACATCCTTACAGGAGAGTATTTAAGCTATTTGATCGAACGTACAAATATAGACTGTTACAGCCAGCAATGTTCATGGTTTGAAATGTATAACAAAAAATATAAACAAATATATTAGGAAGTATTGAAATCTAAAAACAAAGTAATCCAAAATTATATTTTTTTTAGCTTGGTCAGAGAAATAAAAATTGAAGGAACAGTTATTTTTTATTTGTGTTAGTCTGATCAAGTTGTTCACAACAGTAATCCAGAACACAGTATACTAGCTGGTCCATGACTGTAGGGGGGAAGGAGCAAGACTGCTTTCTGACTATGAATAGAGAAAACCAATATAGAAAACTAGATGGTTCTCTCTCTCCTGTATCTCCACTCCCCTCCCTGGCACTCACTGATGGATGGATTTTTTTTTTGGGGGGGAGCGAAGTATCTACACGAAAATTTGGATGGAGAGGCGGATCAATGAGTCTGTCACTACAAATGCTACTTCAATTATCGTTACTACAACTACAGCCGTTAAGGCTACCACTTGCTGGGACACTTACATCCACTACCAATGGAACTATCTCTACTATTCCCACAACCTGAAGGATGAATATAGGATGAATAGGCGGCTTAATTAATACATGGATATGATAACTGATGAATAAAACTGTTGATGAACGAGACACCAACGGTTGAATAGATTAAAAAAATATGAATAGACCTAAGGATTGATGGATTAATTGATAGTTTAATCTAACGTCTTACATAAGACAGGGTTCGAGATCTGTTCTGATTGTCTTGTAACGGGACACGACATTCGAAGAGACGGGCCATGAAAAGGTTCAAATGGAGCTCGAGAAACAAGAGTTAAGAAGCATGCTTACAGAAGGACAATAACCTCTGTTGATATACTGCGCCAGAAAAAAAAGATTCAGCCTCGTTTTGCGTTCACAATGCGAAGCAGCTTTCATCACGTTTACATTTACGAAGAACAAACACGAGGAATTCACGAAGAATTCGTGAGTCAGTCAGTCAAGTCAACTGATTGACTGACGTTCGTCTCCACCAACTGCTTAATCTTGATATTTCAAAACCAATACTGAAATAATTAGAACCCCAAAAAATGGAAAAAATACATTCATAAAGATACGAATAAAAGTGCGTTATGGTATTTACATATATTTGTCTTCCATGCAGCTAATGTGTTTATAAATTGGATAAATTTAGATTCAGAAAAGACCTGGGGCAAATACTGGCTTGGATACAGGGTTGAACTACAAAACAATTTACCCGGTAACATACATATTTCATATATATAAACATACATATTATATATATATTATATATTTTTTTTCACTCATATATGAATGCTCCAATTAAACCTTTTCATGGCCCCTCTCTTTGAGTGTCGTGTCCCGTTATCTTGAAATGATTTCGGGGCTTAGCGTCCCCGCGGCCCGGTCCTCGACCAGGCCTTCTATTTTGTTACACCCTCACCCCCCCCCCCCTCACCCCAGGAAACAGCCCCGTAGCAGCTGTCCAACTCCCAGGTACCTATTTGCAATGATAGAGTAGACACACAATCACACCCTCAGGGACAGATTCCCAAGATACAACTTGACCTTTTTCATTTCTTCTTGACAGGTTTTAGCTTACCCAGTTCAGCATTTCGCAGATCCCACAACCATACAGACCGACATATTGACTGATAAAGTAACTATTTTCGACCAGGTAGAAAGATGACAAATGGGACCTTGAAGGGTATAATACGATCCAGATGCTTTTCGGAATATATTAATGGAATCTTCCTGCATAAGAGTTCTTGCTTAACATCTAGGTAAAAACTAGACAAGTATGGGTTAAAAGCAGCTAAGGCACATTTACTAGGATTGATGGTGGTGGTGATGTATTATGGGCTATACTTTTCGTGTATTAACATAAATCTGTTCATAGCATCTTTGATTGGTACTAAAATAATTAGATCAGTAACATAAGAAAAAGCATTACCCTTTGTACCGCCTATGCGATACTCCTGGCTCTTCCAGCAATGTATCAAGAAAAAAATATTAGACTAAAAGCAGCTCCTTGTTTGACTCCAGTTTCATTGAGAATTTTCATATAGAAAATAAATTAATTTTATAATTACTTTGATTACCTAATAAATATACAGGCATCTTGGGATTACAAAACAATATTTTTCAACTTAACAATATTCAACAAAGTGAGCTCAACTTCGTCAAATGCTTTCGCAGCATCAGGAAAGTGAGAGAGAACAGAGAAACCCCCCCCCCCTTGAGTTCTAGTACGGAATAGCTTCAGCAAGTAAAAAGAGATTTAGTATGAAAGTCACTCGAGCAGACTTCACAAGCCTTCTCCCCTTTGTTTCACCCGGGTACAGCAAGGATTCAACTCCGTTATTTGTAAAGCGCGAAGTCAGTTTTGTAGAGGGCGTCCAGGAGAAATGCTCCCCTTGCCTTCTGCATAGATGTGAGGGGAAATCACGAACTGACTCACTGGCCATCTATATATTCGGTTCCTGGATGATGATGACACTGGCAGGAATAGAAGAGTACCTGCCAGCATATCTCTATCCACCTTCTTAAATTATCAATCATTCAAATTGGAAAATAGTTTCACCTATCCAAGAGAACTATTTTGCAGTAATATCTACTTTAACAAAAGCCTGAACAATCGTGTGCACTGACTGATAGCACACTGGCGGGTTCCAATGCAACCCACAAGAAGGAACAAAATGTTCTGAAGAGTATAGCATAAAGAATGGATGATTTTGATGCCCACAAGGCCTTTCACAAGAGGCCTGATCATCTCCAAGTTTACCTGTTTTCTGACGTGTGCCCAAAACATTCAACATCCCAAAACTAAGCGAGCACGACAAGCTTCTGAATTTCATATTTGTGAAGACCTAAAACCTCTCTGATAAAAAGACTGTCAATGGGACTAAAAGCTGGAGGGAGAAGGGTTGAGGCCTAGATAGGCCTGCATGGGCAAGAAACACACGTTTCCAGAACGAGTTGGACGGGACAGCCCGAGTGTGCATATCGTTGTCTTCGATAATATGATTCTACAATTCTCTTGCTTAGCCATCGGATTCTTGAAGAGCTTTTTATTTTTTTTACCGTGAATTAGATTTTTTGTTAACTTTATCAACAGATTCTGAAACAGAGTTTAAACATATAATTCAATGATTGATTGGATTGATTATAATATGATTATCAGATTGTATCTGATAGTCTTATTATAAGGTCCACCTATGTATAATAAATTTATTCGTTATATATTCCATAATATATTCTGTACGCATATATCCCTAATGGGATTTACAAAGGTCTGTCCGATGCACGGAAAATAAATTCGACAAGTCCATTTCTCTCGATACTCTAACTCTAGGAGT